GATAGATAGATAGATAAAGTCAGAGAGAATTTTCTGCAATGGGAGGAGGACCAGGCCTCACCATAGAAAGTTAGGTATCCAAAAAGGGCAGCCAGGAAGTACATGCTGTACATGACTGCAATGGAGATGTTGGCCACATGCTGCATCTTTTTCTTGGTGGGACTGAAATCAGAAGATATTGCCATGTGATGTCACACACACAAACATAAACACACACACACACACAGACACACACATAACATCAGAGCATCCACTGTCAAATTACTGTATATGCCATATGTCACTAGAAAATATCATCTTCAGCTGCGGTGCTACTTTTGTAGCAGAAGTATGCCTTAGAGATAAGATCAACACATCACAACTAATCTTGGGAGAACAAGCAGCAGTGGTTCAAAGCAGGATGATCAGTTTAAACTAACAACATGCTACATCATACAAGCAGTGCCAATGCATTTCAAAATAAAGTGAAAGCAGTGCATGTGACTACGTTATGATCAGCCAAGCACAAATCGGACATAGTAGCTTTCCTCTTTGTTATGCAACTGATTATTTCTTGTCCAAAAGATAGCAGGAGATTTCTATCATAAGAACATACTTGCGCAGCTCTGTGTAGATGGGCAGGACCTCGGGGTGGCACACAAAGGCGAACGCCAGGATGGGGATGGTGTAGGCCGTCTGAAAATGAACCCCAACAGGTCACCATAGATACAGCAGCACCATCCCAGACGTCTTACCACCAACCTCGCACTTTACTGCCGATTACTCCCTCAGACACATCACAGAGATCTAATTGTTTCCCTGTGATTAACTTGGGCCTGGCTGTGGACCAGCTTTAGCCTATTTAAGAATGCCTTACTTGTGAGCTGCTAAGCAGCAGGAATTGGTCTTACTAGTCTGGGTTAGGAAAGTCTCATACATCTTTAAGGGATGCTAATAAAGACTTGATAGGATTTTATATGTAATGTTACAAGCTCTAGCTGTGTTTCAGGAGTCATCTGGTATGCATTGTGTGTAAAAAGTAAAGGTACTAAGAAATGTCAGGTCTTTCCCATTTCACTCCTTGCCTGTCTCTTTGGTCCACAAAGGGCAAACTTGATGATCTCACTGGAAGCAACAGAATGCCAAAGCAATTTTTATTGTTCTGCCGACAGGAGCAGACAGCTCAGGGGTCACTGTCCATCTTTGAGCCTTGCATTAATCGCAGACTATTGTCTATCATTAACAGCTTGATAAAAGCCCTTCTTGAGTGCAACTGAGTGCTTCAAACCCAGTGCCATGCTTGGATTGTGAACTGTCACTGGCAAACATGCCGAAGATGACTATGACATAAGTGAGTGTCTGTCAGTGGCCATGGCAGTGGAGGTGGATTTGCAGTTTCCGACTGAGTGACATGCGTAAACCTACTTGTGAGTTGAGGTTGGCCATTTTGGGAATGCAGGCAGGATTATCCTCCCCGCCGGGGTCAGCGACACTGACATTCAGCACACTGGCAGTGCCATTAAATGCAAAGTCCACGAATGGACAAGGGGTATTGAACTTCTTGTAGATGACCTGTACAGTGCAGAGGAGAGGCGTTAGAAACACAGGCTGTGGGACAGAGTTAGCATACAGACGGGTGGAAAATATGGCACTGACAGAGCGAGAGAAAGAGTGGGAGAGAGAGGGAGCAATGCGTGGATTACAGCTCACACAGCCAAAACTAGGTCAGAGAAAGACAGAGAACCAACACAGCCTGGAACCGCAGCGTGCAAACATTAGTCCATGGCAATGAGTAGAGAGAGCAGGGAATACTAAAGAGGTGGTGGGAAGGTGGAAAAAACCCAGACTGATCCGAGTGCATCTGAATATGCTTCCTTGATGTTTCTGCCAACAGATAAGAAACAAGAAGCAAGACAACAACCTGTATACCAAGAGTTAGAAGACATACCGAAATGAGGAAGAAAACCATGCAGCTCAGGGAGAAGCCACTGGTGTATCCCAGGTATCCTAAAAGACAAACGCTTCATTAGCATTTCTCTCATCTGGGATTACATGGTCATGCTTAATCTGAAATATATTGCGCTAAATGCTAATATGAGCCACGTATATCTCCCCTCTCTGCTAAACTCTAATAACTAATCACTAGTGAGGTAGCGCAGCATTTTCCTGTTGAACTGCATCTTATGCTGTATGTTCTTCAAGCCTATGGTGGACTGTGCTGGAAGTCGAAGCTCATTACTTGACTGGACCAACTGGCTCTGTTCTCCTTGATGTCTCGGCAAGAGACAGACTTCTTACAAGAGGTCAGCCAATACGCCTCCTTTTCTCACTTCCAAACTAGCTTCCCTTGGTTTTTTCTTCTTCTTTCCATCTGTTTTATTTTATGTGCTAGCTCTTCCAAAGCGCTGTAATGCAGACAGACTGCAGGACACTCCACCGACCTTGTGAAACACATTGGATTTGTGTGTGTCACAAGAGCAAAAAAGACTTATTATTTTAAAGTCAATCTAGGAGTGTGTTGACAAGTTAACAGACTCGGCTACAGAATGGACACAGGGGCATAAGTCATGTACCAATGGACATCTCAGCAGGACACCAGCGGAAATGGTCAGGGAGGAAGACCAATGGAGGGGTGGAGAAAGACAGAACTCTTAGATCTGAAAAATCCTCTCTCTGCCGTAATAGAAAAGGTTCTGCCCTTCAATAAAAGCTAAAACATCCATGTGTGGGTCTTCATTCCTATCGTTTCAAACCTGAGGATTCTTCAAAATTCGTGAAATGTTTTCATTTTGATTTAATATTAAAATACTCTTGTAAATCTTAGAAAACCTTCAGTTAAAGCGAGACTATGTAACTATTGAGAGAACAAATACAATACACTGCTACTACAGCAATACTTGGTCTGGTAGCAAACTTAAAGGTCCAGTGTGAAACATTTAGGAGGATCTATTGGCCGAAATGGAATATTATATGCATGTCACATGTCAAACTATGTTTTCATTAATGAATAATATCCTGAATACAGGATTCGTAATGTTTCTGTTACCTTAGAATAAGCCCTTTTTATCTAGAAGAGATTAACCAAACACTGCTTATAGGTAGGGGCGTTCAGGTTTTTCTTGTGTTCCACAGCCACCATAGTTTCTCCTTTGCGATGCCACTAAATCCTACACAGTGGTCCTTTAAACTAATCATTGCTGTATAACAGATATTACTGAGTCAGTTGGCTTACTTTATTACTCTTCTCCAATTGTGCTGCTGTTACAATAGCTTAGCATTTTAGCTAAACACTAAACAGTAGTTCAGCATTTAACATTAGCCTATAATTTGCAGCTACATATCTTGACTGTACAAAAGTTACAGTCTCGCTTTAATCTAATCATGCAAAACGTAACACAACACAGGATTTAGAAGAATGAGTTGCAAATCCTATTGTAAGAAGGATGTGATATTACATACTCACCTAGCTGTTTCATGAGAGCCAGTGGTAATATTACTGCAATAGATACAATGATCACCAGGTAGTTCCCATTCAGGTACCATTCGCTGCAGAGAGGCAGAAAGACACAGAGAATTAAATGTATTGATTTGGAATTACTCGGCTCAAATGCTCCTCTCAATCTCAGCTCTGTTAAGCATTTGCACTGTGTCAGATATTGATTGATAGGACACAGGAAGAAAGTGTGTGGACAGCTAAAGGAAATGAGGTACACACAATTAAGGTTGACTTGGCAGAAAAAGCAGAGGTACTGACTGAGGATTATTTTATATCTACATGACCATGCTGAGTAGTTTAATTCACAGCTGAACAGAAATGAACATAAATCAAACTCAACTGGTTCCCTCAAAAGCAAATATCCAGAGTGGAAAAAATAAGCCTCTTTGCTCCCTGTACCACTGAACACTAAGAACCGTGGCTGTAGCTAGGACGCACAGAGGTCATGTCCTCAGCAGTGTTTTTATATCTCTCTCTCTATATATATATATATATAAGAAGTTAATAACACACACAAATTCTACATTGTAGTTTTTTAGGCTGATTCTGGTATTTTTTAGATTCTGTTTCTTTAAATTATACATTTAAAACTGATTAAAATAAATTGTATTAAGTATCTAGGCAGTGTGGAGAAGATTTCAGCACATAGACAATGATCCTTCAGATAAAACTCAGTAAAAATGTAACCAAAAGATTGAAAGAAAATGTAAAATCAGAGCAAAAATAATTTATAAAACAATTTACAGACTTTTTGATGGCTAGCCAAACATTTCAGCTGGGTATGGGGTTGTAATGGGGGAAACCGGAACCCTTTCCATAGTATTTATAAAATCCTGGCTAAAGTCCTGCTGAGAACTTAACTAAACTTAGTATCAGAAAGTAGAGTAAATCCCAGCTGACACTGGACGAGAGGCGGTGTACAGCGTGGACAGGTTGCCAGTCAGTAACAGAAACACATTCCCACCTACAGGCAGTTTAGAGTCAATTAACCTAACACTACATGTCGTTGGACTGTGGGAAGAAAACTGGAGTACCCACAGGAAACCCACGCAGGCACAGGGAAAAACATGTGACCAGTGGACTCCACTGACACAATGTACCACATGTTACTGTCTCATGCACAGCCATGTCTAGGAAACAAACCTCTATGAACTATTTTTAGATTGACACAGTAGGAGTGATTAATTTCTTCTCTTCTATCAGGCGGGAGACAGAGATGCAACATCTGTTGGCCACATACACACACAAACACACACACACACATCTCAAAAAAAGAAGAGGCTCATCTATCCTCTTGTCATCCTCCCCTCCGGCCATCTGGACCAGGGACACAATATCTCTCCAACACTGATAAACACAAACATACAAACATACAGTGTTTTACAAACATGCAAACGTTAATCACTAATAATCACAGCGACAGAAACTTGATCGAGCACTCTCCACACTGAAATACCAGTAAGTACACTGGTTGAACAAACACACAGACACAGCCTCAGGTGTTCATTGATTGTGCATGTGAGCTGACCAGGGTCAGGTTTGTTAAAAAAACAACACACATCTAGGGACACAAATAGGCACACCCATGCGTTTACACATGTAGAGGGGTGGACAAAACAACAGGAACCCCATATACATTATGATATAAGTATTATATACTTTGTGAAGCTTATACTTTTCCATTTTGTTGACACTGTATCTGTTAATCTTCTTTTTTACTCACTTTCATAGAAAAACACAGATTTATTTTTAAAAGGCACAGATCAGTTTCAATAGATTGCTGTGCATGCTAACTATTTTGTGTTTCCTGCTGTTAGAAGACATTGTGCATCATACAGTATACTCTCCAGAAACAGAAAATGAAGTGAAGGGAAGTTTCCTTGAAAATACAAAAATAAACAGTTAGTGCTTGCTCTGCAAATAGCATTTTGATTTTTTCCAATATTTTTGTATTATTGACTTTTTTTCATCAGATTTTAGATTGCTTTATAAAAAATCTAAATAAACACAGATGAATTCCTGGAGATTCATTATTTTTTATGAAATTGAAAAATATCCATAGATGCAGTAAACAAAAACTGAACCCTGTAAGCTGTAATAACTGTAATGTTTATAATTATAAGCTCCGTCATTGCAGTATAATTATATTCTATTTTAAAGCAGTGTTTGCTGTAGAGCGATTGTATTATATTGCATTGGATTGTGGGGTGTCCCTGTTATTTTGACCACCCCCTGTACAGTTTAGCAATATAAACACACACCCACTGACAGGATGAAATGCCACTGGGACAATCTAGTCTGTCATTTCAAATAAACAGTGATTGTTGACCATGGCCAACAGCACCAAGCACTGCACGAAGAAAACAGAGTAGACACCAGAAAACAACATGGACGTGTTGTCACACTATATAACTTCTATAGTGGCTGTTTATAGTGGTACACATCAATCTGAACATTTGTGGTAGCAGTGGTAGTCTTCATTCTCTTCCATACAGGCTGAAACCGGCGCAGTGTGTGTGCTTGTTTCATCAGTTACCTCTGTTGCAATATTTGTGAGAGGCAGCAAAATGTCATCACTCCTTTGTACATTTTATTATGAGGGAGCATGAAACTTCTCCTCCTCACCCACTTCCTCTCAAACCCAAAAACTAGGTGAGGAGAGGCCCTAACTGGGGTAAGGGTTAAGGAGTAAGGGGGTAGCTTCACACTAAAAATCCCATCCAAGGAAGTGAGCGTTGTTTGTCTCTGAGGCCACCTGCACTGGCCAGTGATATCCCATGGTTTACGTTTTTAGCCGTGAAGTCTAGCTGTGTTTTGATGTGAGTGTTTCTCTGTGGCCATGCTGCTCTCCTCCTCCAGGGTCACTATCACAGCTGTTCTCACGCCAGCTGCTCAGTACATCCAAAGCAGCACCAAGCTCGCCAATTGGCAGGGCCTGACAGAACTCTTCTGTGGAGGCTAAAATCTTTATACACACAGGACAGCTGCATGAGGTCCCATAGAGAAGTGAAGGGCTATCACACTGCTTTTTTGTAAAACATGAGCAGGTTATGTTTTTAACCCTCAGGATGCATGGAAGTGCTTACAAATGTCACACTGAACCAGATGTATTTACTGCATTTCAAGTGTGAGGAATCACTTTTATATTTTTACTTTAAAGTAGAAGCAAGGAACTCGTTTCACTGACATCGAGGTGGCAGGCATTAGGAATAACTAATATGGAAATCTTCTTGCTGATGGTCGGGTGTGTTTATAGGTCATGGAGGTATCAGTATTAAACTGAAACTGTTTCACAACCATTTAAAAACTCCTTGTAGTAGGTTTAAGTGCAAGAAAATAAAATAAAAATCTGCAGCATTGCAGGTAGACTATGTGCTTCTTTGTGACATTTTAAACACAGGCCAGCACTTTAATTTTAAAACAATGATCATCTCCATGATTTGTGGGACAAGCCATAAAACGTAAAGTTATAATTCTTAAGATTTTCAATGAACAGCAACCTCAGCTGTAGTCTAAGTCTAAGTGTTTACATTTTGTTGTTCTCTATAAACACGTTTAAGTTATTAGTGGTGGACTCTGCCATTACTGGATGTGTGCTACTGCTAGTATGAATAGAAACTTCTATGTCATGCATTGACCACTCACCCTGCAGGTTTATCCACCTTCAGAAAGGCCTGGATGACCAAAGGAAACTCATACTTGACTATGTACAGGTAACTGGACATGGCTGTGGAAAGGAGATACAAACACGCTAATGAGTTAGTACTAAACTACACAGAGGCTTATGTACAGTATAACAATGAAAGCACCCTCACACATAAGCACACACATAGTAATCCCAAGCAACAAATGACAGAATACTATTATGAGTATTATCCCAGAAATGTCAGAAGGAATTTGTGTGTATGTGTGAGCACAGATGGCAGTGTGACCTCACCTCCAATGTTCTGCAGCGTGATGGCAATACCTGCCGCCATCTTCCCCGCGGTCCCAAAGGCCCTGTAGCCGAGCTGCTCGTACGCCCGAATGCCTGAGTCACAAATACCAGATACATTTTATCAATGTGTTAAATCCATACTAACAATGTGTATGACTTTAAAGAGACTGTAAATTAAATTAAGCTTCTGCATTTGTTTTAGATCTCATCGTCTGAGGTTTTGGTAATTTGCAGATGACACCACGATGGTGTAATAAGCAGTATTGTAGGATTACAATAGAGACAGCTTTTGTCCACAGGCACCACAGAGACTTTTCAACAGTGTGCAGGGCACAAGGACAGGAAGCTACTAACCCGCTGTGTTTTTCTGTTCTATTTAATCAAGTCTACTTATTTGTTTATACTGTAACACTACTGTGAACATGATGATTGTAGAGCTGCCAGGGGATACATTTTCAATAAATTCCTTGTGTCTTTGAATAAGAAGATTCAGATTGTCAGGCTACATACGTACCTACAATGCCAGATGACTTGAGCAGTAAATGGATGGAATATGACGAGAGGACTGCCACCACTGTTAGAAGTGTCCTGAAACAGACACACAACAATGGGTAATGTACAGCATTACTGCCACTTCTTTGACCAGCAAAAATCATTTTTTTATCACTATTAAACCCAGTGTTTTCATTTTTCACACAACTGAAAATCTCAGTTTTGTAGGTTACATTTTTTCACTGTACATTACCCTGTAGGCTATTTATACAGCTGCAGCATATATTTTGTGGATGTCGATACCTAGATTGTGTCTTAAGAACAGAGTCCCTGTGGCTCTTCTTTACCCTGGTTTGTTACTCAAGCTGATCCAATGAGGCTGCCCTGTCAGCCCTCTGCCCCCTGCCACATTAAGTAATCACACACACACACACAAATACCAGATGGACAGCTTCACAAGAAACGTTTCCAATGCAATGCTGAGATTGACAAACTGAAAAAATCCTTTTATAAACATTAATCTTCCCCTCTTTGTTCCTCAGTTATGGAATAACCCACTTGAGTCACAACAACAGTCATTCCTTCCATTTTCAGTAATAGAGACATCTCCGCCAGAGGAACTTCACTTGCAATCTTTCTCTCTCCACTGACTCATATTCATAGTTTTACAAGTTTTTTCTCTTCATGCATTCTGCTGCAGTTATTATCTTATCTATTTTTCTAATTAA